ACAGCTTATGATATTTTCTCAAACTGCTGCGCTGAAAAAGTTTCCAAAGAGCACGCTGTGTGAGACGATAAACATCCTTTAACCTTTTAACCTGTGGCTTCCACATATTTGTGAAACAGAAAATGATGACATCGCTCAAATAATCAGAACATGGAACGGTTGTCCAACAGTCAAGTTTCTTTTCTGCACTAATGTACACACAAATCACAACAGCAGTTGTCTCAAGGCGCCTGCTTCATTGCATTAATGTCTTGAAATACCAGGAAACCAAACGTCTGCATCTGGAGACTTGATTCAAAAGGCAATAAAAACCAAAACAAATGTTTAAAAAAAAAAAAAAAAAAAAAAATGAATGAAGGAAAAATTACAATTTCACAAATGTCAAACATTTTTTAATTAAAATTCCTCTTTTTTTCCTATTAAAAAGTTGTAAAAATGAGTCCAAGGCCTTGATGCCGTAGCATTTAGCTTTGTTATTTTTTGTGTCATACAGTCTGTGTATTTATTTACTTATATTTCCTGAACGGCGGACAAACTTTTTCTTTAAATTAATATAAAAACAACAACAAAGTCAGACAGTCAGCAGCAAATCTAACCTTGTTACATGAGAAGAAAAATCATAAACAGAAAATAAAAGTCTGTATTCTTGTTACTACAGCCGTAAAACGTGAGGCCAAACTGTCACCAGGAGTGTACTGAAACATAAAATATTTTTATTTCATGATTAAAAACATTTCCAGTACATCTGCGCTGCAGGATCTCATCACACTGGGAAGCGTTGTTTGTTTTTTGGAAGCAGCCATCATTCTTCCGTTTCACCTGAAACAATGTCCCGGTTAAAAAATAAAGCTTTAACACCAATTTCCCTTTACAGTAAGTAGTGTTTGTCAGAGCTGGTGTGTTATTTTGCTGCGATACACATCTCTCTTATTTTTGTTTCTCTTTCCTCAAACAGAAATCTTTACCTCATTAAGAAAAACCCAGCACACATTTAAAAAGCTCTCAGGACACAGGGCCTTCCAGCAGGAAGAAAGAACGACAGACAGAGATACTTTTCCTGAATCTTAGCACCTTATTTAAGTTGGAAGTAACCTTGTTTGTTTCTTTTCCCCTCAGGCGGCTTGTAAAAGGTGACAAACAGCATTTAGCAGACAGCAGATCACCGGGTCTCTGAATGGCTTCAGACCTTTCAACCTCTTCACGACTCCAAGTAGCTTTAAGACCATTTGTGCTTTTGCCTGCGTGTTGCTCCCCCACCCAGCCCCCTTTCTCCTTAAAAAAAACAACAACAAAAAAAACCCAAAAACCAGCCCCACTTTACTCAAGAACAGACGACTCAAAACTCTCAATTCGTTCACATTGATCGCTTCTCACCGTGACGAGTAAAGGGAATAGCAAACACACTTAAAGATTAATTTTTCTGAAATGAATAAACTGAATACGTCTGTGATGATTTTCTTTTCTCCCCATCTTTTCAAAACAATTAAAAACACCATAAGCCTGTATAAAACGTTACTTTTTATCAAGTCTGTGTTTTAAATTCACAATCAATGATCGAGAGCAGGAAATGTCTGGAGCAGCAGAGCCGAGCCTCTGTGGTTTCTTCGCCGTCCACGCGATCGTGGTATTCGCAGATGACTCAAGAGTTTGTTTTATTCTGCTAGAGAAGCTTCTTGTGGGAGGTACAACACAGGGACTTCTTTTTTTTCCTTTCTTTCTTTTTGTGTGTCCACAAGATGACATGAGCACGATAAAACAAACCATTATGTGCCAATACCTGAGTCTATTATTCAGTCTTTTCTCTGTCCGTTTGCATTTCATGTGGTATTCTCATCCTTTTCCGTCTCCGAGCATCACTCCTCCCCTCAGGTGTGTCCCGGTCCTATGTTACCGTGGTGGAGTTCTGCCCTCGGATAGCGCACCAGGCCATGAAAACGTCTCTGTGGAGAAGAGAGGATGATGAAAACATTAGGTTCAAGCAGGTCTGAATAAGATGCACTTGTAATCCAATTTTAGGGGTTTGAAGACAAAGATCCATACTGTTCACATTCCAATAATTTGTTCGGAAGCTTGTCTCTATACTTTTCTGTCAAAACTACACAATGCAAACCAAAAGTTTATTTCAAGAGCTTGTTGTGAGAACACACTAAATAAATAAATACATAAATAAATGGTTGGTATACCTGTGATCAGAACTAGAAAATGTTACAGTGTATCATCATCTCTTCTAAAAAAAACAAAACAGACTATAAGAGGCTTTTGGACGAACAAGCAATTAGTTTTTCAACTATTGAGAGGACATAAAGGGCCCCCCCATTGCCCCCTGTAGATCCACCCCTGCCTCTGATACCAGCCTTCATCAGGTATTTAAAGAAACACAATGGAAACACCCAGGCAATTGTTTTAGTCTTTGACAAAATTATTTTTTTTAATTTCTTTCTTTCTTTTTAAACTGTAACTTTAATCAAAGAGCACCATGAAGTTCTTTGATTTTAAAACTAAATATGTTCTCAGAGCTGAAAACTGAACATTTTTGTACCTGAAATATTTGAGGGTGGGGCATCTTTATGTCATACAGTGCCATGTTGGTCTTTCAAACAGGAATCTCGGTCAAATGTTTAAATTTCTGTGTTTTGGTGAATTTTTATGCACGAGTCGAGATTTTATTTTCATGTTTTTTTAAACCAACTTTGACATCTGGTGATCCGATACAGTCTAAGTGTTTCTCTCGTCTCTTATTTAGCTTTGTTGAATTTTCATCTAATCAGCCCGTGGTGGGGCGTGTTCTGCAGCACGGCTGCGAGGGAGGTGGATGCATCTGAGAGGCACCTACAATCGCACCTCGCCGACTTAAAAGACAATGAGCTAGAGTCCTGTGAATCCTGTGGTTGTTGTTGTGTATGTGTAGGTGCAGCTAAAAAGCTGTGACTGAGTGCTGTAGAAGAAAACTAATAAAAGAGTGCTGAAAAGCGTTGAAACGTGGTCGGGTCTGTGGTGGGTTTGTTACACAGCCATTATAAATGTCAAATATATTATACTGATATATTGCTCATTTTAGCCATCACTTACACACCAATAAGACTCTAATCTAGAGGAAGTAAAACTGAAGGTTTCAGTAGGTGAACCTGTGGATTATTAACCGTCTTTTCCAACCGATCTCAGAGTCACTATGCTTTGACTCTGTGTTTCTTTGTTAAACAGCATCTTTACCACCACCTAAAGTACTTCACAAACCTCTGGAAGTGAAGCAGAGCACGCTGTGGAAACATTTAAAGTACTGACGCACACTCCAGGAGTCGAGTTTAGGTCTGTCTGTACGCACCTGCAGTGTGTGGCGACACACTCGTTGCTACAGTACTCTTTGTCCCAGTCTTTGCTCTCCACGGCGGGGTTTGTGCAGCCGGCGCGCACGCAAATGTTCGTGCTGGCGGTGGGAGTCACACTCGGGCCAGGAGCAACATTAACCTCCACCTCCATCTGAGAGGGCGGACAAAAAGAAACACCGAAATTTATGTGAATGTGTATTCATCCAAACACTTAACAGTAAATGTTCGACATGTTCGAAGTTCAGCGGCTCACCCCTTCCTCGCCTTCAGCCACTTCCTCTCCTCCCGTCACCTCACCCGTGTGTCCAACCTCCACCGCCAGAGCAGAGGTGGTCGCAGACACTGTCGTGGGGGTTTCCCCCGTTGACGTCACAATGATCGAGGCGCTTGAATCTGACTGGCGTGCTGAAGGCACTACCTTAAGCGGCGGCGGAGCAGTGGTGGCTGCCGCCGCCCCTCCTCCACGCGGTTTGGCCTGGAGAGGCGGGGGCGCCTGGGCGTGCACCATTTGCTGCAGCCGGGGTGGAGGAGGGGTGCTCTGCATCTGCTGCAGCGGCGGAGGCTGGCGGGGCGAGGAGGCGGTCGTCACCGTAGCTGACATGCCGCCGGAGGGTAGCGGTGTCTGCTTGATGATGATTTTGGTGATGGGGGCAGTGTTGAGGGCAGTGCTCGCTGGTGGAGGCTGCGGTTTGATGGCCCCGGTGCGGGACCGGGTGGTGACCTGAGGCAGGTCCAGGATGATGTTGGAGGTACAGATGTTGGTGATGGTGTTCTCCTCTGGGTTGTAGTGCTGCGACCTAGTTGGCCGGGTGGGCGGGGTGGGGGCGGGGATGGGGATGGGCGTAGGCATGGCTGTGACCACAGGAGCTGGGGCTGAAGGTGGGGGTGATGGTGTGGTTTCCATGACCTCAATAGGTGCCTGAAGAGAGGAAGAAGAAGAGAAACGTTTAGGTGGATATTTGTGTTGCTCTGGTGTGTCCGCACCAGGACAGCAGAATGTATCCTAAACTTTACGATGCAGAACATCAGAACTACCAGATTTACAGCTGGAGTTCCAAAGCATCAGGATAGAAACGGTTTCTCGATGAGACGAGACATTTTTAAACTGTAAGAAAACCATTCTCATGGTAGGCAAAGCTCTTTGATAAATCATCAGTAAAAACCAGAAAACAAAAAAAAAAAACAACAAATGGTAAATGGCCTGTATTTATATAGCGCTTTACTAGTCCCTAAGGACCCCAAAGCGCTTTACATATCCAGTCATCCACCCATTCACACACACACATTCACACACTGGTGATGGCAAGCTACATTGTAGCCACAGCCACCCTGGGGCGCACTGACAGAGGCGAGGCTGCCGGACACTGGCGTCACCGGGCCCTCTGACCACCACCAGTAGGCAACGGGTGAAGTGTCTTGCCCAAGGACACAACGACCGAGACTGTCCAAGCCGGGGCTCGAACCGACAACCTTCCGATTACAAGGCGAACTCCCAACTCTTGAGCCACGATCGCCCACAAACCCAAAACATCCAGTGTGTACTCAGTGCTCAAGGTTTACACGATTTAAATCATAGAACTTCAACTTCAGCCCTCGTGGTGAGAGCAGCTCCCTCTCTCCTCTAACTGTGGGATGCGAGTGCCTGCTGTAATGAGGACACCTTATGTTCACTGAGGTATACTGCGATGCGCTCAGAGATGCAGTTCTTAAACTCCTCCATCAGCATTAATTCACGTATCGACGCCAGGTCAGTAGCTTTGCTGGACACACACCACCGATCAAAAAGCACACTTTTCTTCCTTGCAAAATCTTGGTAGGATTGGCCCTGTCCCCTTTTTAAGCCCCGGAAACGCTGCCTATAAGCTTCTGGGACTAGCTCATAGCTAGCAGGATGGCAATTTTCAGCTTGTCATAATTCAGACTGTCCTGAGCTGACAATGAGGAACAAACTTCCTGAGCCTTACCTACCAGCTTACATCGTAGCAAAATAGCCCACGAATCCCGTGGCCAGTGCAACGCTGTGGCTATATGCTCAAAGGACTCAAAATAACTGTGAACCTCAGTGTCACGAAACACTGGAATCAGACAAATGTTTTTCCCCACATCAAATGGTGCCTCTGCCTGCAGAATAAAGGCAGTCGGAGGAAGCGGAGCCTGCTGGAGTTCCAACTGTCACAACTTAACAGCTGTCTCCGCCTCCACCTTTTTCAATTCAACCGCCCTGGCTCTGGAAAGCTCTGCGTCTAAACGCTTAAGCTCCAACTCCTTCTTTAGCTGGAACTCCCTCTCACGATCCTCCCTTTCCAACCGAAGACGAGCCAGGCGGACACGTAGCTTGGCATCGTGCTTTAAACCTACAGATGACTCTATGGAGAGTGGTTCAAAGTGAGGCAGTGTCATTGGCTTGTCCTCAGGCAGCCCCTGAACAACAGGCATAGACACTGATGTAGCTACACCTTGAGCTGGCACCTGCAGAACAGGCTGAGACGTTACACCATGCTCAGGTAGACTGGCAGACACTGGCAGGGCCACTATCCCTTTCTCCACCAAGCCAGACACAAGAGCAGCCTTCAGCTCAGCCTTACGCAGAGCTGTGGAGACACAAATGCCATAAAATGATGCCACCTCATGCAGATCCCTCTTCCTACAGGCGTCCAGCTGGACAAGCGAAGGATTTTCCTTGAACACGGCAATATCAAAGGTAGCCATTAAAACTAAAACTACCTGAGGCTAATAATAACAACAAAGAAGAACCACCTCCAATACACAAATCAAAAACAGGTGGGAAATGTGTGGCCACAGGGTTAACCAATAAATAAAATTAACACCGACCCTCTCCTCAGACCTGCCTACTAAAATCTTAGCCTGCTTAGCTTCTGGAGTGTACCAGGCTCGAGGCAACTTTAAAGGCTAAGCATTAAGTGCACAAAGCACCGACAAGCCTACCCCCGACAGGGAACTAATCCCCACCCAGGATTACAACGAAATTAAAAAAGGCAAAATAAAAAAATGAGTGCCTGAAGGAGGAGCTTACACTCAGCTAAACACTCCCCTTTGCTAACTGGAGAGAGAGTGCAGCAGATATAATACAACTAAACAAGCCACCGGCAAACAACTCACTAAAACTCAATTGCTGTTCCTTCCATTCAGATCCCGGACGAGCCCCCACATTGTTACGTTCCCCCCGAAGGGGTCTAGGCATGCGAGTGAGGGGACCAGTAACAAATGAGTCCAGAACAGAATGAAAGGAAAACAGACAGGTGGTTTTTAGTAAATAAAATAGTCTTTATTATAGATAATCTTAACATAAAGAGCCAGCAACGCCGTTTTACCAATAACACTTGGAAAAAGGAAAAAAGGTTGCAACGACAAAGAACACGAGCCAGGTGCAATATATCAGCCACCTTTCATGTTCAGGCAGACACACACTGCAGTAACATGGCAGCAGCTGGCTCTTCACTTCCTTTCTGGGGCAGTGAACATGGTACATAATATCTGTAGAAAAGTTGGACTGAAGGTCAGAGCTATGCAGACTGATCATTGAATCACCGCAGTCACTCCCTACTGCCACCACACCTGAGCACAGAGCACATCTTATATACAGAAACTCTTCATGGTTTAAGTTTCTCATCATATTGCATCACGTGTAACCATTTCCTTTTAATAAAATCCAGATATGAGTTATTGAACCACATGTCCTCATAACAACTGCATAATGAGTGAAAGATGTTACAACTCATCCACATGGATACAGCTGAAAGTTACAGTATTAGTCTGAACTGGTCTGGTGTTGGTGCCTTTGAGATTTTTCTTATCTAAAATATTTTAGGTGTATGTGCAGAACACTGAGAGGTCTGCTTCTTGTCAATTATTAGTAGAAATGCATGCCTGTGCACAGCACCTGCACAGTTTATGAATGCAGCTGCATCAGGACTCATCTAGTCCAGTCTCTGCAAACTTTATTCATCTGTGGTGCCACATTAAAGTCATGGGTGCTGATACTGAGTAAGCAATAGTAAATTCATCCTGTCATCCCTAACCCCTCACTGATATACACTGAGGTGTAGAAAACCGTCGTCAAATGTCATCTTTATGAGGGAACGATTAAAGAGTTAAACCCTGTGTGATCAGGACATCATGCTAGCATACCTGTGGTTTGTCTGCTTCAAACTATCAAGGTTTGACTCACCTGAGAAATGAGACTGGCTCTGTACTCTGCCAGCGCTTTCAAGTAATCCTTCTTTGCTGCTTCGTTTTTCCTCTTGTAAACCTAAAAATGATAAATATTAAATGACTACACAAGCACATTTACAATCTTAAAAACCTTGAAGGAACCAAAGAAACCCTCTTACTTGTTTCTGCTCCTCCCCCAGACTGTCCCACATGGACGCCACGATCTTGGAGACCTCTCCGAAAGTCGCGTTGGGGTTTTGTCCCTTAATAGCTGCCTGTGTGTCCCTGAAGAACAGAGCGTAGGCCGACACAGGTTTCTGGGGCTCGTTGGGATCCTTCTTCTTCTTCCCCTTCTTCCCCCCTCCTGCTCCTCCTTTCCTTCCCGTAGCAGAGGAGACGCTGGAGGTCGGCGCAGACAGCGGGGATTCAGACGGGGAGGGATCGAGGGAGATGACTCCAGGGGAGACGGCCAGAGAGACTGGAGATTCGACTAGGACGCTCTGATGGAAGATGAAGAGGCAAAAGGGCACGTTGGCGTAAATAAATGAGATGCATTTTCAAACAGATGAGTGCCAGACGCTGGTTATATTTAAGACTCACCCTTCTGAAGTCGTCCATGTCATCATCCTGGAGCGAGCTGGTGGGCGAGGCTGTGGCCGACAGCGGGTTTTCGGGCGACTGCGGCCGCTGAAGTATGTTCCCGCCACCCAAGCCGAGCCCCAGTTGAGCGCTGAGCTCTGATTGGTCTATAGTGGTGAGCTGATTGGACCCCAGTAAACCCTGGCCCATGTCACCTAGAGGGACGTCGATGGTTACCGGGGACGAGCTGCTGAACTGAGAGCCAATGGGATGACCGAGATCCTGGGATAGGGAGGAGGAAAAAAGGGGCGTTACTTAAAGAGGAGACTGAAGGTGGGTAAAGGTTAAAATGTCACGTATTCCTTACCATTCCCAGTGACGACCCTAACAAAGTATTCCCTCCTGACTGGGTCATGACTCCAAGAGTCAGGTGCTCCAGTCCCTGAGAGGCCGCACTAACAAAAGTGGACGCGAACGAGGGGTCGTCACCTTCAACGACGGCGTTCCCAGGTACCACCACGCTGTCCGAGGGTCCAGTTTCTGACAGCTCCCCGAAATGGGACACGACATCTGACACGGAGAGGGCAGAGTCCGGGTCCAGAGAGATGGGAGGGATCTCGAATTCCTCATCGCCAAGGCTGGGAGTGTGGAACGTCTGGTGAGCACGGGGAAGACAGAGGAGAGGAAGAAGAAGTAGTGGTTAGGATCTAACATCACTCCGACACTTGGTGAATAAACTCTCATATGTTTTGAAGATCACACTAAACCAACTCCAAACTTTTATCACTTCTAAGCCTCCTCGAGCCCCCACCCCTACCAAAGTTCTCTGACACTGATGTCATACTGCGTTTTCCATTTACAAGTTCTGACGATGATGGATTGTTCAGGCCTGGGAACAGGAAGCTCTTTGACAAGAACTTTCTAATAGCTGGAGTGGAAAACCAACAGAGGCAGCTGATCTTTGTTCAGTTAACCTATCAGAAGGAGTAAAGCTCAGTTCAATCAGGGTTTTTCCCTTTAATAAACAAGAAACTCACAGCTTTAGCATAGAAACTGTTAAAGCAGATTTAAAACTGGCTAAAACCAGGTGCTTGTTGAGATGTTTTACCTGATGATGCCATAGTCAGCTAAGCAGCTGCTTGCACATTTACATAATGACTGTTCCACAAAGTGCAGCCTGCTTCAGCTTTTAGGTTCCCGTCTATCCTGACGGGAGAGCAGCAGCGAAAAGATGTCAACGTAAACTGACTGGCCTCAAACTAAACGTCCATATTCATCATGTGTCTGCAGCTGCATCACTGAAAGCCCCCATCGTTTGACTCACACGCTAGATGAGTCAGTTTTGCAGCTTTTTAAATAGTGTCTCATGACTCATTCTCGATAAAAAGCCTGTTTTCTACAGGACAGAATTATCAAAAAGGTGCCTGGATTTGATGCGGTGGGGTGTGACATTTAAAGCCTTTTTATAAACAGTTCACATCCCACAGGCTCAGGTGGACAGCAGGTTGAAATGACATGAACGTGGTTTAAATGAATCCAGCCTGTCTCCAGGAGAGTGGAACCAGAAAGGGTGCAGTGCCCACTCTGAGTCTGGGACAAGTTGTTGATCCAAGTGGAGAAAGTTTCAGGGTCTCCTTCATGAGCAGGAGAATGGAGCGGTGCACAGGCGATTCACCAGTCCATCTATGCTCCCACCCTCACCTGTGACCACGAGCTCTGGGACATGAATGAAGTTCCTGAGATGCAGGGGGGGAAACAAGCTTCCTCCAAAGGCACCTCAAAATGCCCCGTAACATTCTGGAGAGATTACATGTCTCAGCTGGCCTGGTGTCTAAGCACTGAGCCCCAGAGCTGGAGGAGATAGGCAGGAGAGGGAGGTCTGGGTTTCTGTGCAGCAGAAGATTGATTGTTTAAGTAAATGCTAGAAAACTGCTGCTACTTAACGTGGCAAGATTGTAAACTGCTATCAAGTTGAGCTTCATTTGTGCTCTGTTGTAAAGGCTCAAGTTAAATTTACTTGCTTACGGTATCAAAACCTCCTCACAGAGAGCATCACTGTCACCTTAAGCTTACTTATTAATCATTGCAATCATCGTGAAAACCAGAGAACAGAGAAGGATATGGAAAGGATGCCTTTCTTCCTGCTCTATAAAGATATACCATCTCAAAATGAACAACTCAAACATGCACACAAAACAACACAGCCTGGTCCCCTACAGCACAGCAGATTTCAACATAAGCCATCTATTATTTAAAGCAGCAGCACTATAACCCAGCTCAGTGTATTCATCAGCAGAAATATCTTATTTTAATCGTTTTTAAATAGTGTTCGACGGCTTCTTGTGTCATTTTTCTCAGTATTAACTTTAGTTCCTCCTCCTTTTTATTTTGGATAGTATAAAACTTTCTCAGGCAGCCTGTCTGCTGGAACAATGATGACTCTCTAAAGTTAAATGTACATTTCTCTACACTCAATCTTTGTCCCAATAATATATCTGATGAATGGCAGTAAAGGGTAGAGTTATTTCTGATTATTTATGCCCTGTTACAGTTTCTCTGATGCTGCCTGATTTTGCACCTGGTTTGGCTGCTGAACGGCTCTTTGGCATCTTTGCATTATGGCACTCTCCTACAGCTTTCCATTGAGGCTCTTCGGAGCTTTTTTTTTAAGACCACTCCTGCAACGCACATGTCAAGCCTCACCTTTTAGTACCGGCTCAGCTTTTTGGGAAAGCCAATAATAGTGAGTTGTTTTTCTTTTGTTTTTGTTTGTTTTTAAAAAAAAAAAAAAGGGATCTATCTTCAAAGACAAAAAACCAACTGGTGTGAAGTTGAGCCAGACCATCAAGTGCAAAGAGGACTTTAGCTCCGTGCTGGATCAAACCCTCCCTGTAAACTTGTCCAGCCCCAGCTTGCGCTACAAATAACTCTCAAAGCTAAGTGCCCGTTTTCGCAAAAATAAACAGACTATAAAACGTCTGAAAAACTCACAGGGTCACTTACAGTCGCTTATCAATGTTCTCCAGATGTTTTCTTAACAGTCTCTTTGAAACATCTGGATAAGAGATTTTACAGTGTGCCCTGTGGAAGAATTCTAACTGATGGCAAAGTGTGCAGTCTTTGAGAACGTTTGACAATTTTCTTGAATTATTGGATATTAAATCTCTTCAGGTCTCCACACATTTTTCAAACTTAAATATATACATATATAATTAGCAAAAATACCCAAAACATTTGATTAAACTGATGCAAAATCAATGACAAGGGTTTCCAAAAGACCTTTTACCATGTGGAACAGCAGCTCTGCTTCCCTACTGTACAGTGCAGCTTCTGTTGATAAACAGTCTTACAAATGCTGGATGCTCACATTAAATGCAGCTACCAAATGACCTTTGAATATGTGCAAGTATCCAAAAAAAAGGACTAAATATTTATACTCCTGGATCTTTATGACATCAAAAAAAGGAGATGGCCCGGCCCTAATATATAGTCATCTACTACGCTCAAGCCCCACCCTCCTACTGTTCAAACCTCACATTTGCAGGAGGCAGCCAATCAGAAAGAAGCTGGCTTAAAGGTGGGAGGAACTGAAACAGCTTGTTTCAAAGGGCAGTAGAAGATAAACAAGGATTATTTTGAACCGTTAATCATCAGCTACACCAGAGTCCAAAAGTAAGACTTGGTCTTTTACGATCTTTTCTAGATGACCTATCGCCAAAATAAAAAACAGGAAGGTAAACTGTGCAGCAGGTGGTGAGATAAGAAAGAGCTTTTCAGTGACTTTTACAGTGGTCGGTTCTTCTTTTACATGCCTTTATAATGTCATTAAAGCCTATCACTTAAAATACTATGCACTGGCAGTTTAATACCATATTTAAAAAAAATTGGTTTCTACTAAAGAAAAATCAAGTCTTCAGCAGATACATTTTTAGACAGTATTTTTTTTTAGGGGGACAGAGTTTAATTTAAATCAGCTTAAACCCAGTTCTGTCAATAAAATGGCCAAAAATAACAGAGCAGAGGCCAAATTTCACTTAACTAAAGCAACAAAGACTGTTTGCCTCAACTACATATGGACCAAATATGCATATGTCCACAGATGCCCTATCTGGGCCAGGAAAAAGCCTGTGTATCTATAAAATATATGAAGAAGTGACACAAAACTTTATCTATGCATTCCTAAATTTTGTCCTCTTTAGCACTCTTAGAGACTTCTAATGCCTTTAACTCTGGCAGGATCTGCTGAGAGGTGGGACCTCTGCAGAAACAGACCGATGCTCGTGTCTCAAGTATAAAGGCTTACCTCTGAAGAGGAGAGGAAGGGGTGGCCGGAACCAGGAATCGTCAGGTAGTTGTCGCTGCCTCCAGGGAACTGAAACGCAGGGGAAGAGAGTGTAACAGTAAGGGAGGAGGGGCGACACCATCATCACAGCAACACAAAGAGCTACCTAAACGCACCGCCAACAGGGGCACACCATAAAACACACATTTACCAGCAAATCTAGCTTAAACTGAGAGTCACAGAGGAGGCTGCCTCTTTACACCTGGTTAGTAAAGAAGAGCTAGTTTGAATATATTGAAAAATCTGCAATTGACACTCTGAGATGCATTTGACTTTAGTAAGAGTAAATATGTTTGTGCAGGTAAAAACAGGACTTCCTGTGGTGCCAGAGGCAAATCCAAAATGCGGTTTTTAAATGACGACTTCATTTATTAAGAGAAAGAAGTTATTCAAACCTATCTGCCCTGTGGGGAAGTAACTGCCCCCTAAACCTAATAACTGTTTGTGCCACTCCTAGCAGCAACAACTGCAACAAGTCTTTCACGTCACTGGAGGAGTTTTGACCCCCTCTTCTTACCAGAATCGTTTTGATTCAGTCGCATTGGTGAGTTTTTGAGCATGAACAGTCTGTCTAAGGTCAGGCCAAAATGTCTCAATCTGGTTCAAGTCCGGACTTTGAACAGACCACTTCAAAACCTTCATTCTGGTTTTTGGCCTTGCTGGTGTGTTTTTGATCGTTGTCCTGCTGCACAAACTGAGCACTCTTGAGCTTCCGGACATGAACTGATGGTCGGACGTTCTCCTTTATGGTTAGTCGTCCAAGTCCTGAAGAGGTAAAGCAACCGGAGACCATCACACTATCACCACCATGTGTGATGTTCTTTTTAATGCTGTGTTAGTTTTTGTAGATGTAATGGGACCTAAACCTTCCAAATTCAGCTTCTATCTCATCAGTCCACAGAATATTTGCATAAATTCTTGGGGATCACCAAGATGTTATTTGGTAAATGTAAGACGAGATTTTGTGTTCTTCTTGGTCAGTGGTGGTTTGCTCCTTGACCTCTCCTCCCATGGATGCAATTTTCATCCAGTCTCTTCCTTACTGTTGAATCACTGACTCTGGCCTTAATAGAGGCAAGTGAGTTGCTTACGTGCTCTTCGAGTAGTTTCGGTAGGTCGGACACTCCTGGACAGGTTCACCACTGATCCAAGGTTTCTTCGTTTGTGGATAATGGCTCTCACCGTGGTTCAGACAGTCCCAAAGCTTTAGAAATGGCAGGGTAACAGTTTTCCAGATTGATAGATGTCAATGACTTTGTTTCTCATTTGCTTCTTTAGATCGTGGCATGTGTTGCTTTCTGAGATCTTTTAGCCACCTTTACTATGTCAGACAGCTTCTACTGAAGTGGTGTCTTCATTCATCAGGCCTGGCAGTAATCAGGGCTGGGTGTGGTTACTGAAACTGAACTCTGCCTTCTAAAAAAATGTGATTAATCACTGTTTATTCATGATTTGACAAAGAGGGCAATTACCTTTGTACACAAGGTCAAAAGTAATTGACTGAAGCTGAAACAGGTAGGCACAAAAAAACAAATAAACCATCACTGGAGATCAGAGGGTTAAACAGAAGATATGGTTTCAAACAGCCTTATTTCAACACAGGAGAGGAGCATACACTCACATGTTGGCTCCTTAAGTCCAACATGCGTCTTTATCGATTTGTTTTAAGGATGATTTTTAGTCGCACAGATAGGTTAAAGGTTTCTAACCTAAGCTGAAACTATAACTCTCTCTAAAACGGAAATACTCCATTACTCAAGGGTCCAGTACTCGAATAAGCATGCACGGAGCGGCTGTTCAGTCACCTTGTTGTCGGAGTCGAACCCATTGAAAGACTGCGGATCCAGGAACTCCGGATCCCCGTCGTGCTGCCCGGTACCGTCCGTTAAATCCGAGTAAAAATTCAGATCCATCCTTTCAGCTGGGCCTCATGTGTGAGCTGTGAGGCCCCCCTTCTTCGCTGCGATACGACGTCAGGCTATTAACCGGATCTCCTTTCCCCTGATTTTTCCGCCCCTTGTCAGCGTGCGATTGACGGATAGGCTGGTTACCGACCAGCTCCGCCGTTAGCCCGGGTTCTCCTTTAAAAACCCGCCGACAGTGACAGCCGTGGCTGGCAGCCAGCTAAACTGAGCATGTGTGTGTGCGCGTGCCAAAAATAGCCCGGCCCGTGAGCTGGCCGGCTCTCTGACGAGGTAACGTGGCCGTTTAACCGTCTTTCTCGCTGACTTTGTCCTATCACGGTTTAGCGTTAGCTGGCTTTGACGCAAGCCTGCAGAGGCGCTCACATTTCAGCCCCCCTCCGCCAGACAGCCCGGTGCTCGTTTGTCTGTCTACCTGCCTGTTACTCCTCCGACGTCTCAGTGACCGTTTAAACGGCAAACCGACCGCGGTCGTGTCAAGGTGTCTGACAGCCAAGGGAAACACACAGAGTCCCCGATTTTTAAGCTTCGCTTTGGCTCGGGCCAGGATCCTCAATGGATCCCGAGAAACAGATCGTAGGTTGGATAAACAGGCAGCGGTCAAGCTACACTGGTGCAAAGCCGGATGTAGGGCGAAGCGGATTTCAAAATAATCGTGGACGAATAAAATCATTACTGGAGCTTCATGTCCTCTTTTACAACATCCATGGATCGTCTCTGTGGTCTTCCTCTTTTTCCTCCTCCCTGGCAACATCTTTTATCCAATATATCAATCACCCTCAACATGTCCTGTCTCCAAACTGCTCAACCTCTTCTGTTACAAATCACCTGTCACACTTGTCTCCACCCTGCTTGCACTCTTCTTTACCTCTCTTTGCACTGTCTGTTGCTTTGTAAGTTTGCCCCCAGGTAACAAAAACGCCTGCACTTCACCCCTTCACTACCTCTAGTCTTTGCAAATGACTTTTCCCACACATGTATTCTGCCTCGCACCTACGGATTTGCGTTCACCTTCTCAACAGATCATACAGCCGCCTGCTCCTCCACCTGCTCCCTACTCTCACCATAGATCACGTTGTCTGGGACAGACTACCACCTCCTGCCTGACCTCATCTGTCAGCCTGTCCATCACCCTTGCGAGTATCAAGAGACTTGCACCTTAATAATGTCTCACTGTCCTCAAACACATTCTGCACCGCCCTCACATACTTCTCTACCACTCCTGACTTCCTAATGCAGTACAGGCACTGGAATTCGACTGGCTTGTTCCAGGTTTGTGATTTACCTCCCCTTACAAATCGAAAACCCTATACATAAAAACATTTCTATGGCAAACAGTAACTATTTCTTATTTTGAAAGGTCAACTATAAAGAAATGAAGCATGGCTGAAAACGTTTACACAGTACTACTAACTATACAGTGCTCCGTGCATCACGTTTACCTTCATTTTAAAGTATGCATTTTTTGCTTATGGTATCTAAGACAAGGATGTCAAACTAATTTGACATCATGGGCCACATAAAGCCAATACTGATCTTAAGTGGGCAGCAAGAACAGCAAGATGTTTAACTTCACATTTAATCCCTGGCATATCTAAATATAAGAAAAACAAGTGCAAGTGCAAGAATATGTTATAGTTTTTCTATGTGATAAATGTGCACAATAACAGAACAACTTCTGGTAGCTAATTGCCCAAACTGTCTAGTATTTTTAATGACGTTCTTTTTTCCTGACACAGAATATTTCTACAGTAGATATTGAAAAAAAAAAACTTTTATGTCATTTAATTGTTTATCTCTTGGGTAATTATTTGGTGTAGCATGAATATCAATAGGAAAAGCTAGAAAACTTGTGAGAATATCACTGAAAGTTTCAAATCTATTCACTCCTTCAAATTCTCCACAGCATTCCAGTGGCCTGGACTGGAGTCTTTGTCGGGCTGATTATGGTTCCCGGCCCTTATGTTTAATACACCTGATATAACATGTCTAGATTCTAGAGAATTAATATTATGCTGCAGTAATGTCTCCTTTATTTTGAAAGGTTTAAAGGGAAGCTGGCTGCTACTGCTGTTCGGCATCAATTAACCCGGTTAGCACTCATATGTTATCTAAATTAAGTCCTTTAACATAAAGTTTCCTGTCTGACATGGACTAACACCCCACATTAGGCTGGTTCTTACTGGATGGGGATGTTAGACTGTTTGTTGGCGTTTAACAGTCTCCTTCAGCTGATTTAACTGCTCTATCCTGTGGCTCCTTCCTGGATACACGAGCTGCATATTTTTTTGTTGTTTAAACCGATTAAAGTTCACTAACATTGAGACTGCCTCAGGTCCGCCTGCTCGGACAGACAGCTGGGTTAAAACGAGGCTGAACATGTTAGCAGAAGTTAACGTGAAATCCGTGAACAGAGGAACAATGATCAGTGAGGTCAGCGCGTACAGCAGGCCGCCAATGATGTCTGACAGCCAGACCGCGCGTGCTATATTTTGTCATCTTGTGTGCGTGCGCAGCAGTTTATTTTGTTAACACCAGCCACTCTTACCTCCATGCTCACCCCGAAACCTGTTTAACTGTGTTTGTTTGTTTGTTTTTAATCCCACTTTTGCCAGGGAACTTCACCCAGAAGTGATTTCCTCAAATATCACAACATGGCACCGGCTTCCGGATTGTACGTGCAGAATCACGTGACCTCAGCAAGCACAAGTTGGAAGCTTGGCTTTCAAAATAAGACGTAGAAATTTATAGCATTGATAACAGAAAAACAATTAAAAGGAAGTTCTAAAAAGGAGCTATGTTTTTTTATTCGTTTAAAAAACGAAATTGGGTCACGGAAAAGTAGTTTATAAGGCAAAAACAGTGTTTGTATCATTTTAATGAGCTTGAAAGTCAATATTTGTCTTTATTCCTCAGTACAGCCTGAACTCTTAGACAAGGTTTCTTGGATTGGATCAGAGACACATTTAAAACCTGCAGGAGACCGGTCCTTGAGGCCTGGAGTTCAACACCTGTGCTGTAGACCAATGGGCCTCTCTCCTGAGTTCTTCTGTACATTTTGACAATTTGAACCACAAATTTTACATTTGGATTCATCACTCCATAAATCCTGTTGTCACTGAATTTAAGTTAAGTTCTGGTGTAATTTGGAATAGCTCAGCCTTTTCCCCATTTCCTTTCCTAATAATGGCCTCTTGACAACTTAATGAAGCTTCAGTTAACAGTACATGCATCAGCTGAAGGTTCAGATGCATCTGTCAGGTCTTTGTTGGAGTGTTTTAGGGCATTTTTATTCACTTGTCCAGTTTCCTCAGATTCTTTTTGGGGTACACTGCAGGGTATGTCCAGATCTCTGCAGACCACTCACATCCCGGACACAAACTGTTCAAGCTGCTGCCCTTAGCCAGGTGCTACAGAGCTCTTTACTAAAACCAGCCGCCACAGACTTTCTTGCCCCGGGCTGTCACTCTGTTGAACACTAACCCACTGTTATGTCATTCAGGTCATATGCACATTGCACTATCCAGTTTGCACTGGTTCATGCTGGTTGCACTACACTCAGCCTATTTAAATATATCATTCACGCCCAGTTGTAGTTTTGTACAAGTTGTATAGTTTAAAAAAAACATGTCAAACTGTTAAACTTGGTATTATTAAACTGATTTGGCTGAAAAAATGAAAACCAGTGATGTTTTTTGACAGGTAGTCAGTAGATACACTAGTTCATCCCTTTAGTTAGGTGGCTTTTTTGGCTTGAATGATTCATAGGCGAGTGTTTTGTGGAGTGATAAACATTCCACTGAAAATGGTCCAGTACAAGGATGTGACTGAAAATGAGCAAAAAGAAAGCAGCTTATGTCCAAATAATTTTTTCTTTGGACAAACAGATCTTGATTTCAGTTTAATCAATTTAAAATCATCTGCTCAGCTGTTCTTGTTAAAGTCCACTGAAATGTCTACGGTTAAAAAGTCAAAACATAAAAAAAAGATTTGATAAATGTGTCTGTCTATAAACAGGCAAAATAATCCAACCACCTACACTATCAATCATCAAATATATACAATAAAACACAGATCACAGTTTGTGCATTTTTTTTTTCAAAACTGTTTTATTTATTCCCATTTTTTTTCCAAGCAAAGTTTTTTTTATTCCTTTTTATATTAATGTAATTAAAAAAAGATAAAACTTGGGATTTTTCATTTTTATGTACAAGCAAGAAAAAAACAAAACAAAACAATGTTTAGGAAATAACAATGAACAGAGAACAACCCTGCACGGTAACACTGTAAAAAAGAAAAAAGAAAGCGTTAGAGTGGAATCAAACACCTGCAGTTCAGAGCTCCTCATTGTAGCTTGTGAGCCCACATTCTCTCTCTCTCTCTCTCACACACACACACACACACACACACACACACACACACACACACACACACACGTAAAAATGTATACACATGAAGTGTGGTGGTCCTCTCCACGATGGTCCAGTGTCTCCACAATACTGTTTCCCTTTACAAGGTCGTTATGGCAACAACCAAAAACTGTCCCCAGCCCCCCCCAATCTCTAAACTGAACTCTACGCTAACGTCGAATAACTTACTAACTATTCAGGTGCAGTCCAGCGTGGGCCTGAGAGAAAACGAGAGAGCAGAGAGAAAACCTCTGACCATTTCCTTTGCACTGGTTTCATTTTGGTGTCACATCCACAGCTGTGAATGTGTTGAACCCTTGAACCTTGAATGTGGTGCAAAAGACCGAAATCCTCTTTAAGCAATTAAAAAAAAGAAAAGAAAAAAAAGAAGAAGTGGACACTGCTGTGTCAGCAAGGTTTGATGGGTTTCCGGAATAAACCTTGTGATTTTAGACTGAGCTCTGACAGGTTTTCTTCTAATTATGGAAGTTCTGAAGGGGGAATTCTTGTAATTACCCTCTGCAAAAATGAGCTAAAACTTACCACCAGGGGGCAGCACTTCACCAGTGGGATGTTTGCAGGTAGGTCCTGCTTTTATTTTTAGTCCCACCCCCTCCTCCTCAACGTGCATTGCCTTTGGCCTGGCGCAACAGTAAAAAGAAATAATAATAATAGTAATAATTAATAAAGGTTACACTGACCCTGCAACACAAGGCCTGCGTGGCTGTCACTTTAGTTAATTTTTGATGTTTCAAACTATTTTTTAAAATACAGGAATTTACAAAAAGTACCTTTGAATTTTTATTTGATTTTTAAAAATGTAAATAAAACTCAGGTGTTATCAAATTTTTACACAACATAGTCCTGCTGAATGCCAATAAAATAGACCTTATCAGAATTTCTACTTATCCATTTAAATTTTATATATATAGCCTGAAATTCTGTCTTAATATGCTGTATTTATTAAAATATTCCTCTGATATGAATAAATTCATTTTTGAGGTAAGACGTCTGAATTTTAAACACCCAACATTTTTATGTTAAAGGCTGTTGTGACTAAATTCTAAGAAGTAGCAGCGAAAATCAAAAAATAAATCCTTGTCAGTGCGTCTTAATAAAGCAGATTCTCGTCAGTTGTGTGCAAATACTCCTGGATATGAAAATAAAGAGTAAACAGATGTGTTTGTGAGAAGCAACAAAAAGAAAACCAGACTTGATTCTGACAGAAAACTGCTGTCTGCTTCCAAATTACATTCTGTACAAAAAGCAACCCTGAGTCTCATCAGCGGGTCGGCCGCTCCGCAGCCTCTCACCGTTAGCCTCTGTGGTCCCTCCAAACGCAATCGCTCCTAACACCACAGTGCTCCCTTCCTCATCGAGTCAGAGGACCCTCGGGTGGGTGAGTCAAACATAAACAAACACACACACACACACACACACACACACACACACACACACACACACAGCTTGTTATTATTTTTGTTTCTGCTCCTTGTTGGAATTGTGTTGGCATTTTTGTAGCTTGGACAGCATGTGGGATGGAAACCAGCGCCACGACAGGGAAGTGTGACAATCGACAATCGCTCTTTTTCAGGTTCCCAGATCCCATCGTCTTCACTCTGCTCTCTCCTGCACGACTGGCTGCTTGCTTGATGCTGGCTTCCTGTGTTTGTCTAATCAGGAGTAGATGGTGATGACTTCACTTCCTCCGCCTCTCACCAACAGCACACGCTCCAATCCTTCTGTCAGGACCTCCAGGAACTCCATGTCTGCTCACTGAATTAACGAACTTCTCATACTATGTTACTTTGATAATATAAATGAATTCATTTAAATAAATGAAAAGCTTATACGTTTTAATAATCATGTTAGTAAGCAAAATGTAACTAAATTTCCTTTCGTCTTTAAGGCTTTAGTGATTTTGTAATTAATTTTTTAAACCCTGTTTAAGCCATCATAAAGGTGTCTGCTGTAACAAAAGTACACTCAGTGACTGCAAAAACAAGCGCCTAACATTTAATTTGGTGCAGACTCGGGGTTAAGGATACAGTTCTCATCTCCTTCGGTGTTCCTGGGAGGTCCAGGCATGTTGAGCAGGACGATCCGGGCGTCGTGGGATCTGTTGACGATGACCTCGTTGAGTTTGACGGCAGTGTGCATTCGCCTGACGTTGGAGTGGTCCCTGGAGGAAAAATGAGATGCGTTAAAGGACCTGGTTAGCGCGGATCTCAGTGTCACAGAGAAACCTGCTGTGTCTGCTCACGGCCTGATGCTCAGCATGTCCCTGAAGCCCTCGGGGGTGGAGCAGCCCGAGTGCGTCGCTCTGTATTGTGTGGTCTTCTCTTTGGTCCAGGTCATCTGAATGCGGCGGTGGTGCTCAGAGCTGCCGCCGCCGCCGCTCGCCGCCCGGTCTCGCTCGCCGCCGTCTGTGTCATCTTCGTCGTCTGAGCCGATGCTCGTCAGACGCAGCATGGAGTTACGATCCTTCACCAGCTGGGCCTGGCGTGTGAAAACACACAAACACGCTCTCTCTCATCTCTTTTTCCAGCCTTTTCTTCCACCTCATTGGCAAACCTCTCTTTTCTACAGTCATTCCTGACTCCTGCCTCTCTCCGTCTCTCTGTACCTGTCTGTCTCCTCTGGAGGTGTTTGGCGTGAAGGGTCCAGGACTTTTGTACCTGGGGGAAAGATACGCCTACAGAAAACACAAGGTCACCTAACTCCCCAAAATCAAACACAGCCTGCATCTACTCTGGTGGGCACTGAAGCACAACTACAGGGACACGGCAGTAAATAAAAAAGGCCCGAGACAAAAAGCTTCTGAAAATCTGAAATGAGAATGAGTGTGACGGGTAGAGGGAAACAAAGATGACAGAACAGTTAAAGGAAGAAGCATCTGACACATGTTAGCATTATTAACTGAACCCTTCAGATAAAGAACTGGACTGACAGTGAAATAAATGTGGATTTGATCTACATTAGGGAGGTCAAAGGATTCACTCTGTAACAATTCAGTGTTTTATTTAAAGCAGGGGTTTTCAAACTTTTCCCTGACACACCCCAATGAAGAACCCTGGAAAAAGTTCACCCCACCATCCTGTAATTATTAAGATCACATTATTTTATTGTGTCTCCCCATAGAGGAAAATCATGCTGGACTGCTGCATCAACGCTAGACAACACCAAACATTACGATAACATCACATGTAATGGAAGTGTTTTTAGGAGGCACAGGCTTCAAAATTTAAAGCTGCAGTTACATTAAAGCTGCTCCATGTGAATGTGACAGTGCTGGTGTACATTTAAGTTACTCCTCTGGTCTGAAAAGTCACAGCTCACATTTCTAATATATGATTTGTTTTCCTTAAATGCCAGCAGGGGGCGACACCTCCTGACCCTGAGTTCAGCTCACTGTGTAAATTTTGTTTCTAAGAGCGTGAGAGGAGCGTATGCTTGCAGTTTCAGTCCCAGCTTCGTGAAGACACTTCACAAACCGACGGCTGACGTCACGGTGACCACATCGCTTTTTTTCCCTCTCAACTCTTCATCTGAAGGGCTCAGCTGCACTCACAGCTGTTCAGAGGGTTTCACTCTTTACTTTGACAGCGTGTCCTGACTGCAGGCTACTCTACAGAGTCTAATCTGCTCTACTTCAGACAGCTGTTGCTTCTCTACTGTGCAAACTTACATCATCAAAACTCCAGCGTACCCTCTGAGGAGATGAGAGGCAAAAGGAGGCGACATGAACGTTTAACAAACATCTCAATGCAAGTTACCGTCTGCAGTGCTTTTTTTTGTCAGTAGCCCGTGTCCCTTACCATGAGTGTTACCCACCAGGATTTCTTTGCTATCACCTCAGTACACTGCACTTTAGTTTATTTAGCAACCTTTGGACCTTAACACTGAGCTCTTTCTCCTTAAATCTAATTTAATCTGGAAGAAAACGGTGACCTCAAAGACAAAACATGGCGTCTGTACTGGGAACCTGATCTCCACTTTGTTCCAGCTTATTTTTGCAGAACAAAATAAATTATTTTTTATATTTCCTTAAACGCCTCCCAAGTCATGAACTCACAGCTGACCTTGACCTCTAACCTCACCTGAGACCTTGTAGCTCCACCTGCCTCTGGCCTACCATTGTTGCTGCTACTGCTAGGGCTCTCCTGGTGAAAGTGGTGGACAAATGCTTGTTAAGACCCAGCTTGCATAAAGTTTCAAACTCCTAATCAACCCTACACAAACCTGCGGGCATTTTTCACACCACACAAAACCCCGCTGTAAGCTTTCCACACCTACCTCTCTGTCCCGATCAGATTTAGACAGTCGCATCTGTCTGAGCATCTGACACCTCTGCTCCATCATCAGCGTCCTCTCATAGGTATATGCACTGATGTCACTGTCGTGCTGAGAAGAGGTACATGGACATGCTCAGAAGAGGTGAGAAAACAACTGTTGTAGAGATTAGTGGAAATCAGACTGGAATTTATATTTTACTGAGATCTTAGGTCCACATTTAACCTTATATTCACACAGTGGTTCAGTTTATGCACTTTAAGAACTTCATCCAGTTCAGAATTAACATTACATGCATGTCTTTGCACTGCAGAAGAAAGGGGGAGTGCCCGAAGGGATTTAAAGCAGGTTCCTTCTGTCTGTTTTCATGTTTAAAGAATTCAATCCACCAGAGGCCTCAACACAAAACTCTGGTGTACTCTGAAGTGCAGAGAGACACCTCCTGCTCATAGGCTTAATCATCACAGTAAAATCTCTTTAGTCAAGACAATGAAAGTATTACCTGTTTATTTTTTTAAGGAAAAACCCGGGAATCAAAAAAAAAAAAAAAAACAACCTAAAAGCCGGAAAAAAAAATTATGCATCTACATGTTTCAGCTGGCGAACCAGTGCAGCCATTAAAGGTGAATATTTCAGTCAAAGTGCAAGTGGTCAGACCCGGTAATATGTATATATATATATTATTTTTATTAGGGGTGCAACGATGCATACCATCTCCACTACTTCCACCTCAGCATCGATGCGTAGCTGATAGGTGAAGGTTAACAAATCCTTCTTCATCTGGATGGAATTATCCTCCATCTGGGCCACTGTGAAGATTCGCATTGAACACTTGCGCCACACCTGGGCAGAGACAGAGCAGAGGGTTCAGCGGAAACTTTAAAGGCTTTGTTAGAGTTTAAGATCAACACTTTGTTTTCTTGCCTTGTGTTGTCGCAGGAGGAAAGGCAGAAGCATCAGCATCCCGCCGTCATGGACGATCCACCACACATCGATGTAGCCCTCTGTGCAGGGCTCGGAGTTGCTAGGGAACAGGGAGATGTTTTTGGGCACCAGAAGCGCAAGGTGGGCCGCTGTGGTCACCCGCACTGTGTCTGGAAGGAGGAAAGAGGGCGTCGTTAGCTTGTTAACTCTGAAACAACCCCATTAACCGCTTTGCTGTCCTCTCTTGACTCACTGATGAAGGTCTTCCAGGACTGTGGGTCCTCGCTTTGCCTCCAGGCGTGAGGCCAGCCCATCACCACAGTGTTGGGTTTCATTCCTCCCAGGCCACTTGACTGGATCATGTGGCTGATCCCATCACGTGGCTTTTGAGCCACGATGCACTGGCAGAAGCCCTTCACGCGCTCCTTATCCATCAGGTGCTTCAGAGTCTGAGGAAAGAAGGATAAAAGGTCCAACTCCACATTATCTGAAAGCAAATACATTTCCACCCATCAATAACAAACGGCCCTACCTGCTCAGCAGCGAGCGCCTCTCCATAGCTCTGCAGGTAGTTCCCGGGGACAACAGTGCCAACAATGGTCAGGCCTTTTCCCGCCTTTAGCTGGCTGGCAAACGTCAGGAGCCGAGGAGACTTGACGTGGGCGTCTTCGTCCAGTTTTAGTAACACCAAAAGCTGAGGCCTGGACACGGACAGACAAGGCGATGAACAAGAGCATGTGTGCGTTAGTAGATTATTCCTAAATATTAGTGACAGCAGAGCCTCAGATTGTCTGTCTTTATGCTGTCTACATTTTTGAATGGGTTTTGAAAACTTCACAGCCAAGTGCTCAGATAAACAAAATAAAAGTAAATGGAGAATTGGTCATCTATAATTCAATGCTAACTTGATAAACATCAAGATCATGATGGAAGCGCTGGAAAGGATAATAAAGAGGCCTTTCATTTAGCCTGATGTGCATCTCCCCAGTTGTGAAACCAAAGCACCACTATGAGGCAACTCATTTTCAGAGTTCGCTCACCCCCTGTCCTCCTGTCTTGATGCAGTTAGTTCAGCTCAGTCAGCATCATTTGAAGCACATAAAGAGACCCAACAAAGTCACACGGAGGCCCCATGGCTGGCTAACATGTCAAAATGTAATTACATAGCAACAAACTGAAATTCAATTTATTTGTGAAAGAAAACCAGTGTCCAGCAACCTGGAGCTCTCCCAGATCTGTTTGAAAGTGACAGTAGTGACCTGCAGTGTTTAATTTACTGATCTGCTATACCTAGTACTGCACACCAAAAGAGACTTGGCACATTAAAATCATCAGATTCTTGTTTATAATGCTAAATGTGACGCAGATTCTGATGATGTCTTGCAGCTTTACTCCCAGCACTGCACGCAAACTTAAGTGCAAACAGTTCACCAACTTCTAACAGGTCAACTTGCATCCTGTGTTTGTGAGACATTTCAATACCTCCAGTTTTTAGTATGCGGTGGTCCTTCTTCCAGCCTCAGCAGAGCATAACGGGCAGCGCTGAGTGACAGACCACGGATCCCATCTCCCCACTCCTTCTCTGCCCTGATACACAACCACACCCAGAAAATATAAGAACATACAGGTATATTTATTTATTCACAAACAGTATACACTGTACACTCTTCTGTTCCCCTGAAAATAAAATAAACATGTTAACACGAAACAGACATGTTTACACACCAGTCTGTACATGCACAATCATGTGGAGGGAGTACATCTCCATGGCAACATACCCTTGATACTCAATGTACTTGTAGATCATCCCGGCAATCACCATGGCAACGATTGCGTAGTACCAAGAGGATATGAACATGAGCGCCAGGCAGAAAGTCATCCCCAGAAAGGACAAGCTCCTGGACAGATGAGCAGAGCAGAGCAGACGTTAAGGGGGGGAGCGAGAGAGAGAGTGAGTGAGTGAGTGAGTGAGTGAGTGAGTGAGTGAGTGAGTGAGTCTTTGGTAGTACCAGTGGTAGTATGAGAAGCGAGGCCTCCAGTTGGGTGTCCTCAGGAGGGTCTGAAGGGCACAGGCCAGGTTCACAAACAGGTAACACATAAGGAAGAACCTGGAAAGAGGGTTGGAGATTCAAACTGAGGTGATGAAGGCAGACTAAGTGTGCACATGCACACACATGTAACATAACTGCATCTTACATTGTCAGAATAGGAGCCACCATGTCCAGAGATGCGATGAGAACCCCCAGCTCAGCTATCAGAGCTGTCAGCAGCAGAGCCCACGTAGGTTCCCCGTTAGCTTTCCCGTGGCCAAAGACCTGGCAGAAACACACAGAGTTCAAATATACACACACAGACCCAGCAAATCACACTATGTTTAAGGAAATGGCAAGTACTGCAAATGAAAAAATAAAATCTGAGGGTTGTTATTACATAGAGAGTGGAAGGAGGCAATAGCCTGAGCACTGAGAATCAAAGAAATAATCAAAAGCTTCGGTGAAAGGCAGGAATTGGAGAGAATACAGCATCTCCAGGTAACTACAAATTACACTCAAACTACCTAAATAAATGGGTCACACTGTACATGACAGAAAACATAAAACACCATCACTTTAAAGCATTTTAAAGCACCACAGTTCCATCAAGGTATTTGCACACTGTCTTCCCCTGCTGCAAGATGTTTCTGTATGCAAGTGGAAAGAACTGAAGTATGCAGCATAAATACATCAGTAGGGATTTCTGCTTCATACAGCATCATTAAGTTAATCCTGAGCACAACAAGAATAAAGGAGAAGTGCCTGGACAGTCCCTGTAATTAAACTGAAAACTAGCAGCTCTAACCCGGAGGAAGGGGATGATGTTGTCTTTGGCGATGGCCTGCAGGAGTCGTGGAGCGCCAGTCAAAGACTGGAGGCCCGCGCCACATGTGGAGAAGAAGGACCCGATCACAATGACCCACGGCGAGGGCCAAGCCAAAGTCCCCACCACCAGATTGCCTTTAACTGAATCTCCAAACCTGCAGAAGTAACAACACATGAAGTAGTTTAAGCATCAAAGTCCTTCTGCCTCACATACAACACAACACATGCAAATACAAACACAAGAGCAGGTGTACTGACTTGTCTCTGAGGACCACCCCCTCGATGCAGGCTCCAAACAACACGACATTGCTCAGATCTGGATGAACAGCAGGTCAGGAAAAAAACAAAACAAAACAATACAAAGCACTTTCAGTGCCACGAAAATCGGACTGTGCTGAGAAAATTCGAAGAACTGCCTCTCAGTCATACGCCTCCACTGCCCGGTCGAGATACGCCATCCAGTCTCTGTGGACTCTCCACATAAATCACAAATCACACCAGCACTCGCCTCAAGGTGCTTTATATTGTAATATAAAGACCCTACAGTAGCACAGATGCCCCCCTATAAACAAGAACCTGAGGACAGTAGGAAGGAAAAACTCCCTTTTAACAGGAAGAAATCTCCACCTCACCCTCAGACACGACCAGTTGAGGAAATGAAGACAGGACAAAAAACACGCTGTGGAAGAGAGCCAGAGATTAACAGTAACTAATAATTAAATGCCGAGTCATGTGCCAACACTCAGAGTGAAAAAGATGAGTGAAGAAGAAACACTGAGTGCGTCACGGGAAGCTCACAACAGCCTAGGACTATTACAGAGTAACTAAGGGAGGATTCAGAGTCACCTGATCCAACCCCAACTATAATTCTTTTTAATTATAATTGTTTTATTTTCAAAAAGAAAGGTTTTAAGTTTTAAAAGCAGAGATAGTGTCTGTCTCCTGGATCAAAACTGGAAGCTGGTTCCATAGAAGAGAGGCCTGACACTGAAGCCTCTGCCTCCCATTCTACCTTTAAATACTTTAGGAACAACAAGTAAGGCTGCAGTCTAAGGGTGAAGTGCTCTAGTGGGGTAACAGCGATAATGGTGAGCAAACTAAAGGTGAACTTTCGACCTTTGACCTTGATCTCAACCTTAGATTAGCAAATTTCAATCAGTCCACCTTTTAAAAAAACAAAAAACACAATTCAAGGTATTCTCAGATGGATGTAAGGATGGACAGACAGCGTGAAAATAAAACAGGTGGACAGACTTAATCCACTAACAACACAACATTATTCTCATTAAATATTTCCATGATCAGCATTTAGGTTAAAAACTTCAGAATTGTGTTGTAGCATCTTAAATTGTGCTTTGAGTTGCTTTTGAATTTGAGTGCATGAAAGTTCAATCAAATTGTCAGATGAAAGGATACAGACTAAAGAGGTGGTGAGGATGGCGAGGATGGTTCCGATGGGGATGGAGCGCTGAGCATCTTTTAAATCCCCCGACCGGTTGGAGCCGGCCATGATTCCTGAGAAACAAAATCATTCAAAGGAAGAGGAGATAAGTGATAACTCAACAGCTCTGTGCTTAAAATATCAACTTTAATGTTACACTGAATATACCACAGTTTTTTAATAAACACCCTCATGAGTGAAATGTGTGATCAATATTTCAAATCAAAGAGAATCCATCTCCATATTTTTTCTTTTTTAAAGTGTTTTCAAGCTAAAAAGTGAAAATAAAGCCAACTGCACAGACACAAACAGAAATCCAAGAATAGATGCCTGACAGGTTTGATCCTGAATCAGCAGCTGCACCGTGAGCGGGAATCAATATCACGCCTACAGCGCTTTTCCTGTCAATGATCCGTTTTCATCACTGAACCAAGCCAATATTAGGTTTAAATTTCTTATATGCTTATATTTCCGAATTAACACTGAATGGAGCCCAGTTAGTATTTTAGGGGCGTCTGTACCTGTGACTGAGGGGAAGAAGATGCCCACGAGCACTGTGAAAGAGGTGGTGATGTCAGCAAACACGTACGGATAGCGATCAGAGGCTGGGTGTGCAACTTGAGAGGTGTGGAGGGATCTTTTCTCCAAAACATCCCCTTTGTGGAGGTATGTACTCCACAGGTTCTCTGTTAAGAGGGAAAAAAAAACCCATGTAAGATCAGTCATTGACATTGGCAGAGGATAAACATTCACCTACACATTCACATTTATTTAGATTTAGAGGCCCTAATTAGTGTAGCATTAGTAAGCTAGTATAATATCTGCCTCCGTCTCCTTCGATAAAACATCCTCCAACTGCTGCTTATCCAGCCCTAGCCAAGAAGTCCAAACCTCCCTCTCCATAGCCACTTCTCCACCTTATCCAGGGGGACATTGAGGCATTCTCAGGCCAGCTGAGATGTAATCTCTCCAGCATGCCCTGGGTCTGCCCCGGAGCCTCATTCCGGTATGACGAGCCCAAAACACCTCAGCCAGGAGGCATCTTAGTGGGATGCCTGAACCACCTCAGCTGGATTCTTTCAATGAGGAGTAGTAGTGGCTCTACTCTGAGCCCCTCTTGGATCACTGGACTCTTCACCCTTTCTCTAAGATAGAGTAAAGTCAAAGATTGACCAGTAAACTGTCAGCTTCACGTTTACATAGAGTTCTCCCTTTCCTACAACAGAGCAGTGCAGTGATGTGGTTCATTTGTCGATCTCCCTCTCCCCTCATTCGTGAACAAGACCCCCAAATTACTTAAACTCCTCCACTTGGGGCAGTGGAGGGACTCGTCCTTGACCTGGGGTGACCACTCCACTCTCTTCCACCTGAGGGCCATGGCCTCAGACTTGGACCTTCAAATTCTCATTTCTGTGAGCTGTGAAGCCTTCTGCCTCTCAGCTCTACCTAGAAATTCTGTCCTGTCTGTGATATTATGTTCATTTTATTCATCTTAGATGTTTGGCGTGTTCACATATTGGGGGATAAAAACTGGATTTCTTATCTTTCTCCTTAAAGCACCAACATAACTTCAGACCAGATTGCTTTTAAAGCATTCTGCTGCATCAGGCCAGCTGAGGTCCATTA